GTGTGTCATTACAATTCTATCCAAATTTTATTGATTAATTAAATGTACAATAGTATAATGCAATGGGATGCCATGACTTGTTTCGGAGGGATGGGGGATCAGCTGGGGTAATTTGTAAACAAAAAAAAAACATTTGTATATCTTGCTAATTATATTCTTCTTTAATATGCATTCATAAATTTTAAAATGCTATTTACAGACAACATTACAATTACTGGTTAATTAACATTATAATACAATTCTTAAATATTTATCAACACATATAATCTGCATATTTTATTAAATTATAAACAAAATACTGATAAACTATTTTATATTATTATAACTTTTAATATTTTCTAAAACTCACATTTCCTATATAATCTGTGAAATATAAATAGGACAACAACAACAAACTTACTTTTTTATATCTGCTCAATGTAAAGACATTGGATTCTACTGTGGTCCATATTAAAATAACAAAAAATTACATACAACATAATGATAACTATAATATAAATTGAAAATTCGAAAAGCCTAGTAAGAAGCATAATGGATTCAAATGACATGTAAAATTCATCAAATCAAATCAAATCTATTTCCATACCATGAAGTAATAAAAAAAAAAAGGTATAGTATAATATACAGTAATTGAAGTAAACAGATTGTATGGGAGGAGGCTACAATAAGTTCTGCAAGAAGAGTACACAAAGCCATAAGGCATGGCCAACTTTTACAAAAAAGTTGAAAAAATGACTGGTAGCCCTTTAGAACTTATGTTTTATCTGAACTATATATACAAAGAAATTATATACCTATAAAAGTAAAATAATTTCAATCCAGGTTTAAATATGTTTTTATAAAATACATGACCAGACACATTTTATTTCTGACACAAATAGTAATGAAAGGAAGAGAAGAAAAAAAGTACTTGATATTATGAAGTGCAAAGAACTTTAGTTTCTGTCCACACAATAAAATTTGATGTGACAAATATGTGTGATGAGCCCGTATATGCACACGATGATGTCATATTACGCCCAAATATGGGCATATCACATTTATTTGTCACATAAAATTTGACAATGTAGACAGAGCATAAAATTGACGTCATGTAAGTTTGATTATTTGTCAAAAACTAGACATCCAAATCCAGATAATCTGTACCATCTTAAAAAGCATTTAACCTAACATAAATTAAAAAACGAGAAGACATATTGAAGTTTAATAACATACTTATTATAATATGGAGCTAGGTAGTATTCATCAGTCTTGTCAAAGTACAAGTGATCTTTCCTTAAGGCAGTCGTTTGTCGGTCTAGCAATTCTCATAAGAAAATCTATTAATCTACTTGTGCTCGCAAAAACATCGATTGCGTTTTATGGATACGACGATACAAGTCTTCTGACACCGCCGCGACAGCTAGTTAATCTTTTTGTATCAATTGCCCGAATTTTTATATCCTAGTAAAATTTTCCATTTAATTGATGATAGAAATTCTATTGATAATATTCAAATTCTGTTCTGTCAGAATAAGAGTTGTAGCTATTTGTAATTTTAATGTTTTTAATTTGCGTGAAAAGATGAATTTCAATTGTGTAACGTGACAAAGAAATGATATTAGGGTTGGCGTCAGCGGGGAGCCAGGGCTGTCAGGCAAATCCTGGCGCCACCCCTGAATGATATATCTCTCAATAATTTGATAAATCATGATAATTTTTGTTGATATTTCAACTTATATTCTACAAATGTATATGGGTTTCTTTCCTGGTTTTTCAGAGTCAATTATTTTTCTGTAATGCATCAATTGAGAACAAAGAATTAAAAGAACTCTATGGGTAAATATATCTATTGCAGCATATGCTTAATTGCGTGACTGGAAAAAGATTCCGGAAGCATAAAATTGGCAATTAAAAATTTACAAATCATTATCAAAAACATAGGAAATGCCCATTTTTCTATGTTATCTGCTAGATCTACTTACACCACTTTTTCACATTGAGAAAGTCTACCAACGAGTTATGGACGAGAGGGGGAGAAGGGGGTAGGGGTGTTATGATTTGCTTGTCTGAGAGAGCTTAATTACTTAATTCGTTTATTGTGAATCATTAAAATGAGTTCAAGTATAAACGAAAACAAATTTCCTCATCTAATCAACCTAGTTGTTTTGTACTGGTCACATGTGGACATTGTATTTGGTGAATGTTTATTTTTAATATGTATGTATAAGCATGAAATTCATTAATTGCTAATAAATTATGTGTAATACTGTTTCTGCTTGCTTCTATTGTAAATGTCTAGTGGTCTAAGATTTAATATGATGAGTAACATGGTTCAGTACCAGTTGTCAGATTAAAACGCAATCATTAAGGCATTTATGTATAAATGACTGACATTTCCCTGATTCTTAACACTAAAATTTAATATCATTAATCCACAAAGATTTTAATTCAGACTATTTTGATGTGGCTGTGACTTATTAAATATATATTTATCTGTATGTCTATCTTAGTTATTGAGCAATTTTATCTGAAGAGTGTTGCTCCATGTATGTGTAGCACAAAACTAAACAGTAATAAAATGTCTTATCAAACCTACTATAGAACCTTTTATTTTTCTTTTTAATTCGCTTTGGTTCAATTACCATTGAGCACTCTGATGATAATTGCAACTGTTTTATATATCTATATGTTTGTAATGAAACATGTTTGAGAAATAAAATAAAAATTCAATTAAAAAAATATTGAATTGATCAAATTAAAGAAATACTAAAGTCAAAAATAAATTTCTAATGAGAGATAGGGTTAGGGTCTATACAAATAATATATTAATGTTTTTTTTTTTTTTACGTCTGTATTATTGACATGTTCCAATTTTTCTATGTTTATATCCATTTCTTTCTTTCTTTGTTTCTTCTTATAAACACTGTTAATCTTGACTGCTTTCATAAAAAAATACAAATCAAATAAATAATCAAGGTACAAAGATTCAATTGAAAGATTAATTGATATATATTTACAAACTAAGCAGTTAAAATATTTAACTTTATTTTTAAAAGTTTTTTTCCGTAGCTCAGCATCTACCTATATATAATTGCCATCTCAATATAACAACATCTCCATTGTTATTTCATTAATTCATTCTGTTTTTATTATTAAAACTTATAGCAGTAAAGCATAAAACACAAACTGAATTGTGAGCAGATTTACAAAATTTACAAGAATACAAAATTAATAAAAGACAAAATATTATTAAAATGCAACAAATGAGGAAACCTAAAACAGAGAAAAAGGACAAAGAAAAAAAACCCATCACGACAAAAAGAAAACCATCAAAATGTACATTTGGAAAAGGGAAACAAACACTAAGACATTTGCAGTTCTCACACTGCCTATATTAAAAAACAATGCTACAATTAAATAAGAATAAATAGTATATGTCAATCGGGATGTCATCACGGGAACTCAGGAATTCTTTTTTTGCATTAATCTAACCTTTGTATAATAATTTCCACTAGTGTATGATATACAACTATACTAATTGCTTATTAGTAGACAAGAGTGTTTGCTACATTTTCCATAGTTTGCAATAGACCTGTACCCATCATTTTATTATTCACTCATGGCAATATGATTCACCAAGTGCTACATTATATGGAACTCGGAAATTAATTGAGGAGAAATTCTGAAAATAACATACAGTAAATGCAAATCAACGGCAAGATGAAATAATCGAGAAAAACCAAAGTGGAATGAGATAACGATGCGGAGACTGCAGTCGGGGGTGAAAGTAAGTCAACAACGCGAGATTAACCAAGCTCAAGATTTCAACGGCCTTTATCTGCTCTGCTTCAGAGCATCAAGAAGCGATAAAGAAAATCAATGGAGATTAAACTTTGGACTCTGACAATTGCTTATGGCGTTCTGTTGGGGAGCAAACCTTCGTATATGCATCTGGCAGCAATTTACTGGTTGCTTGGCAGACTATACATCTCAATTGCTTTATTCCCACATGTCTGTACTTAGACTTTCCGAAGTATCAACTTTTTTTTATCTTCGTTTTCAAATGAAAAATCTGTTTACTAAAAGAATCATCCACATAGATATAGGCAGAAAGAAAAAAAAAAAACATAATGTTTAGGAATATGTAGTGATACTTCGCCGACAGAGCGTCTACTTTGCACAGCATTTTTGTAATGATTAGGAAGGCGCATAGCTTGTAAATATACACTTTCTAATGTGTTCTACACATATAATGAATATTACTTCAAATAATTCTGTGAGACGTGAAAGCAGCGAATCATCAAAATAATTTCTAGACTGCTGCCCCGTCCAGATTATCAAATTTTCTTTGACAAAGACTGCTGTATGACCATATATAGTCATGATAGGAAACTGACACTCTCAATAACACTATTTTAGGCCCAATAAAAAAAAAGATATTATTATAGAAGCGGTTGACACATCAGTTGTGGCTTGGACTCCCAGCCTCGAGGTCGGGGCACCTGGTAGGTTCGAACACAACTGCGCTGATTACTAGCATCAATATTATGGAATTCTCCCCAGGGAGCTGAGTATGTGTTCCATACGTGTTTGATGCAATGACCGGGGTAGTAATATGTGATGAGGTAGGCAGGCTTTTTATTTTTATTTCGCTAAAGTCAAATATCACCCTTGGGTTGTTAGCTGATGCATTGGTATTTAAAGTAAAATACATGATTGAGATATCAATTACAAACAATATCTACTAACTATTTACTAAAAATATGGGGGGAAAAATGAACATTTTTTTTTTTCAAAATGTGTTTTTTTTTTTCAAATACCATAAGACATGCAGGCAGGTTATAAACTAATTATTTTTTATTGCCCCAAAATATTGATTTTTCAAAAATGTTTTTCCTATCAGTGAAAAGTTCACCTTTAGGATTAATATCACCCCATTATTAGCAATTATATTATAACACAAATAAATATAATTCTGTGTTAGGTGCAGTTATACCCAATCACAAACTTACCTGCTGGTATAAAATTCCATCGAATTAGTGAAATGCTGGAGGCCAGATGGTACCACATCCACTTGACATGGAGGTGTGTCAGTTGGATTTCCTTTGTAGCTTATATAATTTAGTTGTTTCATAACAACGAAAAGTGTATATATCTATAAAGGCAAAAAGAAGCAAAGACATAAAACATAATATTCCCTTAATAATATTAATCATAACAAATATTATAACTTTTATACATTTAGATAAAAAATAAATATGTAAAAGAAGAAAACTATGCATCAAATTTTAGAGAGATTTATTAAGAGTGAAATCAGGGCAGGTTTTACTTAGCAATATAAATGAAAATAATTTTCTTATGAATAAAATGCAGTAGGATTATTTATGAGAATATTTATTAACGGTACGATATATTGCATGGCCATGGGCATTGTGATAGTATGGTACCGTGCATGGCCAGGGGCCATATAATTGCATGGTACAATATGAATATATTTTTATGTTGTGTATACTTGTATTTTTCTACTGACATAAGTAAACAAAAAACTATCGGAGAAGCCACTTTATTAACTTTCTTCACATCATCGTAACGTCTGAGATAAGATATATATTTTTTTACTATCATAAAGTTAAAGAAATCTATAACAATTTAACACGGTCATGTGCAGTTTTTATAAAGTATTTTTGTATTTTAATTTGAAAATAAAAGTTAAAGAAATCTATAACAATTTAACACGGTCATGTGCAGTTTTTATAAAGTATTTTTGTATTTTAATTTGAAAATAAAAGTGAATGAATTATTCTTTTTGTATGCTGCAGTATCACAGGTGTGGATGGCATTATATGTTATGGTATCTGTAGGGTGTACCATGCAATGCCAACCACGTACCGGGACATATTGGTACTGGTCCTATCAGCTGTCTTAGAGGAAGACACTTAGCAGTTATTGACAAAATCATTGATATTAAAAGACGCACAGCGGAAAGCTTGCTCAAGGCTTTACTAGACGCAGTATATTTTTATATACAAAGCCGACGTGCAACGTTTATGCATTGCTGGCTGATGCAATTGCGTACCGTAACATATTGGTATCGGTTGTAATAGCTGTCTTAAAGGAAGACACGTCTTGGCAATCATTGACAAAATCACTGACATTAAAATATTCTGCTTTTTAAATTAGTGTTGGTTTAAGAATTGTCAGATCAACACCGGTAAGCTCGCTCTAGGCTTTGTTAGACACTTTACAATATATTTCTTATATACAAAGCCATACAAAACCGTGCAACATCCATGCATTGCTGTCTGGTGTAATTGTATGGCTGATGCATAGTTAGCATTGTATGTTACAGTACATATGGCCGGCATAATTGCACGGTACATTACACACATATGCTCTTGTTTTGATTGTATTGTGCATTATTAACCATCACCATTAATATTAACATTATTCCAGATGTCTAATCACTGAAATTCATCTTTCATAATATTAATCAATAATATTAATGTACTCTAAAGTGATGTCCATATTTCCTGCCTGCCTTAATCTGCCGCACTTCTTGACTTACGACGACAGCAGGTTACGTCTGATCTAATGCGGTAATGTTTTCATAAACATGATGTTAGAGCAAGGTGACTCGATAATTACAGGATCAACTTTAGTCTTACGTACATATGTGATTATTGACAGCACACTTAGACTGAAGATCTTGGAGGAGTTTGGATTAACTTGAAAATCCAGCATTAAAGCTGTATAAAAAAACCATTTTTCTTGTTCTTTAAGTCAATCAATATTTCGGGCATCTTTTTTTTTTTACTTTCACAAGAGAAAACACCCAACAAATCCTGCATATAAATCTAAGCACTTTTGTAAGCAATGGACAACAAGACATATGAAATGATAAATTTAAAAAAAAAAAAAAAAAAAGGTTAAATATTTAAATATTTATTCATGTCTTTTTCCTAGTTCCATCCCATACGCCAAAGCAAAGGGTGCCACAATGATGAAAGTCTTTCCCATCAGCTGTAATTAAACATGTACATACATGCAGTATTTATTTCTAGTTTATTACAGTACCGTACTTCCAGTTTCTCCCGTGAACCACCAGAGCGGAAGTTCACTTTCTGGCAACCACTGGCTTTGCTTCTATTTTTTAGAATTAAAAGTATGAGATATATCAGAAATATTATTAATTGTCAAAAACAGGAATAGATATTTATCAAATAGATTACTTTTTGCAGATAAAACAATTAGGCATAAATTCCAAGGGTTAACCCAGCAAGACTTTGTAAAAACTTTACAGTATTTCCTACAGAAAAATAATTAACATATATGAAAAAATAACAATCATTTATACATGGAACATCAAATTTAAATATATTTTGTTTTGAAAAAAAAAAAAAAAATTAAATATCGACAGGAGATTGCACGGTCATTCATTTTGCTTTAAATGAGATTCAAATGTAATTTCATGCATTTAAATTTAGTACGATGGCCATTGCAAGTCATTTGTTATTTTGTATTCAACGTGCGTGATAGATAAATTTCAGTTTTTTATTCAAAAGGTAGTAAGTATAATGTGACAGTATGTGTAAACAGGTTACACATGTGCATACCGACGTACGTGTAAGGCATTTTATACGTGTAAACTGGAGAGCTTGTGGAATTTGAGTTGTCAGTAATCATCACAAAATGATGATTATTATAATATCGAGCGTGTGGTAAGGCGTTATAAGTACCTAAGCTTCTGAAGACCTTAATTTCAAGCATTCGTAATCTCTCTAGTATTTATCCCTTAACATACACTTAACGTAAACAACTCACTTTGCCTCCATATACAAACACAAAAATGAGAATATTCCAATCACTTCTAAAGTGAATAGTAAATAAGTACTTTGGTTTATTTTTTTAATCTGAATACATAAATTATATTCTCAAGAATGAAAAATGCAAAAAGTAACGAAAGCATAACTAATTTCCATTGTACGGTAATCGCTAAACATAATTCATATATGATAATTTGTCATTTATCAAAAATAAAATTGTCTCTGGATTTAAAACAAAATTCTTACGCAACTTAATGTAGGCCTAGGCCTATGTTTAGCTGGCTGTATTGTATGAAACAGAACATGTGCTTTTATGTAATATTCAGGCCCATAGCATGAATTTGTGGGAGGTTCGTTTCAGTGGAAAAATGTACTCTTTGGAAACCATTATACAATAACGTAATATTGTTAGCTGTGAAAGCTTAATAAATGGCGACTTGAAATACTTCTGGCTTGTATGATCTCCGATACTCTGGAGAACATTGTAAATATCTACGAATATCCATTTTTCATTTTTAGATGTGGACCTTTTCCAATTTTTGGTGGTTCGTCATAACCCCCTTAACCCCTCATGCTACTGGTCTGATATTCAAGTACAGGGGCGGATTT